CCAAACACACGCTTTCCTTCACATACATGTTCTCTCACATACACTTTCCCTCACACACTTTCCCTCTCACATACACACTTTCCCTGACACATACACTTTCCCACACACAGACTTTTCCTCACACATACTTTCTGTCTCACTTACACTTTCCCTCACATACACTTTCCCTCTCACATACACACTTTCCCTCTCACACACTTTTTCTCTCACACGCACTTTCCTTCACACACTTTCCCTCTCACACACTTTCTTTCACACACAATTTTCTCTCACACACACTTTCCCTGACAAATACACTTTCCCACACACACACCTTCCCTCACGCACACTTTTTCTCACACACACTTTCCCTCACATACACTTTCCCTCTCACACACACATTACCGCCTCACACACACTTTTGTTCTCACATACACTCTTCCTCACACATACTTTTCCTCACGCACTTTGACTCACAGACACTTTCCCACACACAGAAATACTTTCCCACACACACACATTTTACCTGACACACACTTTCCCTCTCATAAACACTTTCCCTCACACACACTTTCTCTCTCACAAATACTTTCCTCACACACTTTCCCTCACACATACTCTTCACACACACTTTATCTCTCACACACACTTTCCCCCACACAGACACACTTTCCCTCACACATAACTTTCTCTCTCACACATACTTTCCCTCACACACACACCCATCTCTGCACACACGTTTTCCTTCACACACACACTCAACTGTAACACACATATCATTCCACTAAACATCATGGAAGAAAATACTATGCAGAGTAAATATTCCAGATGTTTGAACTTCACCCTTTAACATACCAAAGACAATGTCCCCTTTAAACATTTCTTATGGAAATCTTTCTAAGATATATTATATTGTTACATGTTCTCTTAAGCTGAATTGAATATATTAAGGTAATTTGCATCTGTTGTGATAATTTCTGCCTCTGCTCTCAAGGTCATATATGTCTGCCTCCCCCTCTTATAATTTGTGGGTCTTGAAAATACTAAATTGTGAGAATTGTATGCAAGTGGGAATGGTTGGCTTGTACTGTGCACATGCCATGGTGTTGTGCCTGGGATGGCCCTTCAGGCTGTGTCTATCCCTGGTCGTACAGTCTGCTTATTCATCAGAGCCTCTCTTCCCAAGAGCAAGATCAGGCACCATCTGCAAAGTGATTGGGGAGCTCATGAGACAGTGGCCCTGTGTGCACCATCGTGCTTTGGTTGTTCCTGGTCATCAAGCACCCAGAGAGGCAGATGACAGCCAGGAAGCTGCTGTATGGGCAGTTATTCGGGACACAGTAGCCAAGAAGAGGCTAGAGGATGTGTTCCCTCTGGCTTGCCCAAGACTTCCTTAACTTACTCGACCTGGGAGATGGCCTCTGGGCAGGTAAACAGCTTCTCTTGGGCGGCTCTTGCCTGGATCAGGATTTGGGGGGATGGCACCCAGGGAGTGGAAGCTGGTGGAAGAGGTGCCCTCTAGACCAAGTATTGGGGCTTGACTCAGTCATGACAGGAATCAAAAGGCAGAGAAGGGGCCGGGGATGCTGTGAGATCCCAGAGATCTCAGCAAGTATCGGCCCTCTCCTCCTCACTTTGGGCAGTTTTCAAGGGATGAGTAGGTGGGGTGGAGGCCAGGAGACCCGCTGGGAGGCTACTAACCACAGCTGGACACAAGAATGAGGATGCATCTGCGAGTCTGGAGGAGAAGTGGGCCTGGACTTGGGTATCTGGGCAGCAGGAGGACATCTCTCCTTGGGAGGGTCCAAAGTTTGCATTTTACTTCCTCCAAAATAGATCATTAAAGACATGCCCCTTCCACCTTTACCAGTTTCTTGTATCACAATTAAGCATTTGCTTCAGATCTCTGTGAGGTACATGACGTCTAGGGCATGATTCCTGCCCCTGGCTCAAGACCACCTCCATTTTTCTTATGGGCTGGATATTCACTGGTAGCTCAGGTATGATTTGAGTTTTTAGACATCAGACTGACCATCTTGGTATTTTCTGGATGAAATTAGTATTTAGATAATTCCTACTGAGTGAGTGACCCTGTCTGGTGGGAAGAGCCAGGTATATGGAGGAAGGGGAACAAACAGACACGAGGAGGCCTCTGTGAGTGTCGGAGCTCCAGAGGATATCTAATCAATGCCTCACCACACCGACATGGTGGTGGGAGTTTCTAGAAGCTGAACTCACTGCAGCGCACACCTCCCTGCTCGCTGTGAGACTTGGCCTTTCAGTCAGGACAGATGGCCTGCGTCCTTATCCACTCTAGGCTCAGAGGATTCACTATTTTATTTTCAGTTTCCTGTAGCATGAACTGTTCAGAGGAGTGTCAGATGTAACTGTTGTCCCTTTAAAATCGATTTCACAATTTTAACCTCTTTGACTTTTAACTGTTATTTGTAGCCTTGCATTTCTTTTCCAAACAAATGAATCTTGTGGTATTTCCTCAGGAAATGCTACATCTAAAAATAACTTTAAACATCTTTTAAACTAAAAGTATTCTGTCTTTACATAAAAGCTTGTTCCATCAAAATATGAAGAAGAAATCAGGTACCAATGATACTGTTTTCAGAATGACTGAGTAGGTGTAATTCTGTGATTTTGATAAAGGATGCCATAATGGTTTTTTTTTTAATCTTTTAAACATGATCAGTACAGTTAAAATGTATTTACTATAGGTAAACTTTTCTGAGTATTAAATTACATGTGAACCAGCTCTGTCCTTGTCACAGGGGCCTCCCCCATTCCCTTCAGACCCAGGAGTACCAGGGAAAGGGAAGGCCCCCTGAGAAATTCCAGACGCTCCACAGATAACCCTAAAATGTAGCATTTCAGGTGCACATTTCAGAATTTAATGGGGTGGAACTTGATTGTGCCTCCGGTGACAGCAGCAACAACCGCACTTAAAGTGTTAGTTAGGCTTCCCCTCATAGGCTCAGGGGTCAGGTGTACCTAATGCAGCCATGGGCACTTCCTCAGTGTGACAATGTGAAGGACCAGCAGACTGCTCCAAGAGGAACTCCCCACTATGCTGAGGGTTTGCCTGCACCTTCCCACAAAGACAAGCCACATACCCAGACATAAGACAGAGCCTGTAAAGGGGACCCTTACATAACCGGCCAGTGAAACTCTCCTCTGCACCTGTCTTCATTGATGTCTTAAATTACCCGATGCTCTCTTGCATTTCAGGATCTGGAATCCCTTGACACCTATATCCAGAACACACTGTCTTCCCTCTACCCACCTTTTGAGGCCACGGCAGCCACGGTGCTCTGGCAGCTGTTCAGTGTGGCTGAGAGGCTCCACGGTGGGGATGGGCTGCGCTGCCTCACTGACTTCCTCATTCCAGCCAAGAAGGTCCTACAATACCTGCAGCAGGAAGCCTGTGTGAGTACCTGCCCTGCAGGGGCCAAAACCTGTGTGAGACCCTCCCCTCAGGGGACAGGGCCTGTGTGATGGTTTTCCCTGCAGAAGGAAACCTGGGAGACCCTCTCCTGCAGATAATGCCTCCCTGTCCTTGACTGTATGGAAGAGACAGGCAAAGTGTTACTTGGTACCTGGAAAATATTTCAACTGAGCACATTCTAGATCTGGGGAATTATACCAGTGATGGAGGCAAAGGAAAACATGGAATTAAACTAGTAATTAAAGCAGAAATAATTCAAGTGAGCATTTGTTGTTTTCTTTCTGAAAGGAAGCTGCGAGATTAATCTCAGCCATTTTTCATAGAGTTTAATCGCATAAAATGGAGAGATCTTCGCAGTCCACTCCAGGTTTGGGGTCCATAAGGTTACTGGCTCAGCTCCTTTCCTCTGACTTCTGGCTCCTTTTCTCCATAGTCACAAATGATGAATGAACTAGGGCTTTGTGTTCCAGAAACAGGCCTCTCGGACCTGCCAGCTGTAGAGCCCACTCTGTCCACAGGTATCCATTCTGTCCACAGGTATCCCCAGTGAACTTTGACTAGTCTTCAAGCCCAGGTTAATAAATTTCTTAGGTGCTTTTTTTTTTTTTCCTGAGTGGTATTCTATTGTATGGAATACACTGCAATTTGTTTACTCATTCATAGATTCATAGACATTTAGGTTGCTTCCAGTTTAGAATATTATGTATGAAGTTACCACGAACATCTGCATACAAGATCTGTGTGGGCTTATGTTTTCTTGGGTAAATAGCTAGAAGTGTGATTGCTGGGCCACTTCCAACCTCTGTCTCCTGATGACTTCAGTTTTATGCCTAAGATCCATTTTGAGTTAAATTTCTGTATATGGTGTGAGGTAAGCTTCAAATTTGTTTGTCTTTGCATGTCTTATCTATCCAATGGTTCCAGCACCATTTGTTGAAAAGACCACCGTCTTTTCATTGACTCACCCAGGCAACATTGTTGAAAGTGAATTGTCAGTACAAGTGTGAATCTGTTCCTAGACTCTGTTTTGTTCCCCTGATCTCTCTTTCCTCCAGTAACATGGTTTTGATTACTGAACCTTTAGAGTGAATCCTGAAATCAGCTGGTATAAGGCCTCCCACTTTGTTCTTCTTTTTCAAAATGGTTTAGTTATTCTAGTGTCTTTGCATATCTATAAAAAATTTAGAATCTGTTAATTTATAAAAATCATACTGGGAGTTTTGATTAAGATTGCTTTAAATCTGTAGATCAATTTAGGGGAGAAGTGTCTTGGGATATTTTATTGTAGGTTATTTTTGAGGCAATCTTAAAATTAACGGCAGACAATTTGTGGGTATATTGCAGTGAGCTGCTATAGAGATTCATGGCTCAATCGTATAAAAGTACATTTGATATTAAAAAGTACAAAGATCTTAAAAAGTAAGATCTTTATTAATCAGTGGCTTTTATTATTCCATTGATATTGAAGTAGGGCTTTTAAAAAAAAACTACCACTGGACTACTTTGATTTATTAAATTCTTTGAATGTCTTTTAGCTAGAATGACCACAGTAGAGAAATGACCAATGATATCTCTACATTTGATTCTTTGTGTGAAGTCGTCTACACAGAGGATTTTTTCCTTTGTGATTGCGTATCTTTTGCACACTTAAAGGGTATTGATTGATAAGAAACAGAGGTAAACAGCAGCACAGGGAACAGAAACGCCTGTCCCCTTTCAAAGGTGTGTTTTGAGAAGGTATTTTGACCTAATGTTTCACCTTCTTTCTTCTGTTGTGTTTCCTTTTCCTTTCATTTTAATCATAAGTCATCTGCCTTCCCATTTACAAAATTGCTTATTTTCTGAAAAAGCCATGTGAATACTACTACTCTTTAGTATCAATACATATTTACAAGTATACAATTTAATAAGCACAAAATGAAATTTAGGGATAACCTTGCGATTTGCATCTTTATATTGCTTTTTACTTTTGAATAAAGAAAATAAAATTCGATCATCTGTATGACATAGGAGAAAATGAACTTATCTCCACACCTATGATATAAACATATCGTAGTTAATATAGATCAATGCAGTTTTTATTTACCTGCTGTGGTCGAAGTATGTGACTTACTAATCATACTAATTTTTTGTTGTATTCCTAAGGTTTCAATGACCACCATTCTTCCATCCCTCTGTAGATACAGGAAATGTTCAAAGTGACTCATCAGCTTATTTATGACTTTCTTTCATCACAGTTTGGCTCAAAAACTATCTGCAGAAGTTAAAGGCAATCAGAAAGATACAGAAATAGAATGGTTTGCTTGATGGGGGTGGGGGGAGCAGGAGCAGGGGATTCCAATAAAGAAGATGAAATCAAATGGAAGCCAGAAAAGGAGGGAACAAACAAAACAAAGGCCCAGGAATAAAAAGCACAACATATATAATAACTGGATGAAAACAAAGTTTTTAAATGGTAGCCCAGCAAAATTCCAGCCAAAGATAACTGGTGTAGCAATCATCATAAAAAATTAAATATAGTAAAAGGCAGAATGCATTATCAAGGCTAAGGCAGATCATTGAGTAATAATACTGGTAACAACCAGGAATATGCAACAGTCTGTAAACACCTAACAACATAGCCTGAAATGTTTGGTGCACAAACTGAGGGAATTAGAAGGAGTAAACATAATCATAATGGGAAAAGCAAATAGATAAACATATTTATCTATTTTATCCATATTACTTAGGATATGTCTGAACACCTGATTTCTCTCTTTCACTAATGGGCATGCGTAGAGTACTGAAGCCAGTAATTTTAAAATACACATCCTTCCCAAAGCACACATGCAACATTTTCCAGAATTAACCAAAATTTGATAAAATTCAGGTAAAATTTTACAATTAAAGGATATACAGGGGCGCCTGGGTGGCGCAGTCGGTTAAGCGTCCGACTTCAGCCAGGTCACGATCTCGCGGTCCGTGAGTTCGAGCCCCGCGTCGGGCTCTGGGCTGATGGCTCAGAGCCTGGAGCCTGTTTCTGATTCTGTGTCTCCCTCTCTCTCTGCCCCTCCCCCGTTCATGCTCTGTCTCTCTCTGTCCCAAAAAAATAAATAAACGTTAAAAAAAAAAAAAAACAATTAAAGGATATACATTTACTTCAAGAATGTATACAACTTGAGAATATTAGAGAGCATACACTCTTCTTAAGTGTACATATGCATTTATTGAAATTGACCAGAATTGACCATTAATCATAAGGTGGCAATAAATACCAAATTAGTATCTAATTAATCATAAGGTGGCAATAAATACCAAGAATTAGTATCTAAAGATTGCAGTGCAGGGGCGCCTGGGTAGCTCAGTGGGTTAAGTGTCTGACTTTGGCTCAGGTCATGATCTCGCTGTTTGTGAGTTCGAGTCCCACATTGGGTTCTGTGCTGACAGCTCAGAGCCTGGAGCCTGCTTTGGATTCTGTATCTCCCTCTCTCTCTTTCCATCCGTGCTCATGCTCTGTTTCTCTCTCTCAACAATAAATAAACATTAAGAAAAACTTTTTTTAAAGATTACAGTACAATAAAACTCCAAATCAATAATGACAACACCTTTACATTTGGGAAATTGTACATGTACTCCTAAGTGAAGGGTCAGAGAACAGCAGAAATTGGCAAAACATTTAGGGCCAATGAACAGGTGAGCCCTTTCTCTAGTTATGGTTTAGAAGTGTGAGAGAGACTTTAACTCCTGCCAAGCAACAAGAAAGCCCTACATAAACCAAAACAATTATACTTTCCTTTAAAACCATCCAAGAGCTGTGGATACACAGAGATCTAAAAGAACCAAATTATGGAGAGATAATGACTTCCTAAGTGAGCAAGAGCAGAAGACACTTTCAAACCTGGGACCAGTGACTGAAACTGCAGAGAGGGTGGGTGGAAGAGCAACCTGACAGGGAAGGACCATCTAAGCTCAGAGGAGGAGAGATTGAACTTTAAGAAACCTCAGGGCTAGTCTCACACTTAGGTCCTTAATCCATTTTGAGTGAAAGAAAGTGGTCCAGTTTCTTTCTTTTGCATATAGGTGTCTGATTTTTTCAACACCATTTGTTGAAGAGACTGTCTTTTTCTCATTGGATATTTTTTCCTGCTTTGTCAAAGACTAATTGACCATATAACTGTGGGTTTATCTCTGTGTTTTCCATTCTGTTCCATTGAGCTATGTGTCTATTTTTATGCCAGTACCATGCTATTTTGATTACTACAGCTTTGTAATATAATTTGAAGCCTGGAATTATGTTACCTCCAGCTTTTTTTTTTCTTTTTCAAGGTTACTTTGGCTCTTCAGGGTCTTTTGTTGTTCCATACAAATTTTAAGATTGTTTGTTCTAGTTCTGTGAAAAATGCTGCTGGTATTTCGATAGGGATTCTGTTAAATTTCTAGATTGCTTTGGGTAGCATAGACATTTTAACAATATTTCTTCTTACAATCCATGAGCATGGGATTTCTTTCCGTTTCTTTGTGTTGTCTTCAATTTTTTTTAATGTTTATTTAGTTTTGAGAGAAAAAGCATGAACAGGGGAGGGGCAGCGAGAGAGGGAGACACAGAATCTGAAGCAGGCTCCAGGCTCTGAGCTGTCAGCACAGAGCCTGATGAGAGGCTTGAATTCATGAACCACGAGATCATGACCTGAGCCGAAGTCAGACGCTTAACCAACTGAGCCACCCAGACACCATCTTCAGTTTCTTTCATCAGCAGTTTATAGTTTTCAGCGTACAGGTCTTCACCTCTCTGGTTAACTTTATTCCCAGGTATTTTATTATTTTTGGTACAGTTGTAATGGGATTTTTTTCTTAATTTCTCTGTTGCTTCATCATTAGTGCATACAACTGCAATGTATTTCTGTACATTGATTTTGTATCCTGTGACCTTACTGAATTGATTTCTCAGGTCTAGTAGTTTTTGGTGGAATCTGAAGGATTTTCTATATGTAGTGTCATGTCA